AACCTGTGGGTCGTGACCCCTTTGGGGGGGGGGTGTCGAATGACCCTTTCACAGGGGTTGCCCAATTCATAACAGTAGCAAAATTACAGTTATGAAGTAGCAACGAAAATAATGTTATGGTTGGGGGGGTCGTCACCACAACATAAAGAACTGTATTAAAGGAGGCTCGCAGCATTAGGAAGGTTGAGAACCACTGCCCTAGATGAATGTGGATTTAAGTCTAAGAGTAAAGTTTAGTGATCCAGAGATGCATTTGCCTGGTGACTTCTGCTGGATGGCTGTGAAGGAGGTTATTAAGGATCTTATCTTTCTTTGAAAGTATATTACAGATATATTGTATTATATACAATTTTATTTATTATATATATTGTATATATAATGTAGTATATACAAATTAATTTATTATATACATTGTATATATAATATACAAGTATATTACAGAAAGTATATTCACAGATACCACAGTTCTAGCTAGTGAGTTTTTGTTTTTCAGTCAAAACTATAAAACAAAAAGAAAATAATTAACTGCCATCAAATTGATTCCAATTCCCAGTGATGCTTTAGGACAAGGTAAAACTGTCCTGTGGGTTTCTGAGACTGTCACTTGTTAAGGGAGGAGAAAGCCTCATCTTTCACCCTCGGAGGAGCTGGTGGTTTTGAACTGCTGACCTTTCAGTTACCAGCCAATGTGCAACCACAAGTTCCAGGACAAGGATGAGAGGTTCAGTTTCTCCCTTAGATCACAACTGTGATACCTGATGCCCAGAACCATCAAATAGACGCTGTAGTTTCAGGTCACCCTGGTACACAAGTTCCCGCTTAAAATAAAGTATAGACCAGAGACCAGAACGTTTGACATTAACTGTTCAGAGATGGGGCTCTCTTCCTGACCCTTGGCTTGAGAAAGACCTGTGGGAACTCAAATTTGCCAGGAGAAGAAAGAAGACATCATTTCCTGGGAACAAGAGCGGTATGACGTAGGCATGCGTGATGGCAATAGCGACAGGTTAGCTAGGCACGCAGGCTCAGTCCACACTCCACTGTGAAACAACAAAGCTTTTCCGAGACAGAGCTTAGCTGAAGAACGGAGACGGGAACATGGAGTGAGGGCGTAAAGGGGCCCTACCACCCCCACACGCAGCCCTCCTCTCCGCACGCTTACTGCTCCAGACTTGCCAACCACGCCAAATGACTGACTGGAGGATTTTGTCATGTCCGTGCAGTTGCAGGTGAGGCGAGGAGGCCCATGAATCAGGAGTAGCTGGGCCTTCACGATCCAGCTTTTCAACATAAACAAAATCTCAGGCTTGATTTTACACCCGAGTGCCTCCTGCATCGAGTGACGTGCCTTATGGTCAGTAGCACAAGGGACTTCATGATACTCAAGAAAGGACAGAGGAGATCTCGTGCTGCTTAACCTACAACATTCTAGCAAACTTCAAAGAGATGACCGGAAAGGGGTCCTAGTGTTTAGCCATGAATACCCACTCAGATCCCATGGGTTGTGACAGTTTAAACTTTCTTTCTCTATTGCATGTGTCACTGCCCTGGTAAGGAGAGACTGACTTCTTTATAACCAGGGTAATCTGGTAACTGGCTCGGAGTAGTAAGGGTTGGCTTCAGAAAGGAAATAAAACAAAACTCACCACCAAGTTGATGCCTGGAGGACAGGGTAGCACCGCCCCTGTGAGTTTCCAAGACTGTAACTCTTTATGGGAGTAGAAAGCCCCATCTTCCTCCTGCAGAGTGACTGGTGGTTTTGAACTACTGACCCTGCGGTTACCATCCCAACACGGCACGCATAACCACTGCACCCCAGGGCTCTGAGAAAGGAAACAGCAGGATTGAGAAGGAAGGTTGGATGGGAAAGTTTTCCCAGGCTGGAGCAACGCAAGCCAAGAAGAGGGCTGAGTGGGCGTGTGGCAGGGCCTGGCTGCTGCGGTCCCGAGAATACAAAAGCAATCTGGAAGGCACCTCCTTGTGCGACTGCTTCCAACTCTGGCGGCACACGCAGCCCGCCTTCCTGAAAACCGCGGTGTCCATGCAGCTGTCCAAGCCATCTCCTCCACGTGTTCCCAGATCCCCCCTGGGCTGCAGTGGGCGGCGTTTGTGTAACTCCACCACAAGGTTGGGCAGCTGTGGTGGGCGGTAGGTGCCCTTGACACACTGCCGGCTCTGAGCGACTCGATGCCTCCACGTACAACACTGCCTGGTCCCGCGCAGTCCTCACAGTTGTTCTTATGTGTGAGCCCATCGAGGCTGCCATCCATCCCGTCTCTTTCTTAAGGTGTGTGAAACCCCACTGTGAGGATTGGTCGGGTTTGTGACTCCACTAGGCATAAAATGCGCCATCCCAGAGGCAGAAAGGGGGACTTCATGACCACTAGGAAAGAAGAGCCAGGAGTAAGGCGTGTCCGTTGGACACAGGGTCCTGGCTCTGGGAACTGCCGTGACCCAGGAGACAGAGAACAAGACTTGTAACAGCTGAGACAGTGGCAGAGAAACGGCCATAGAAGAACCAGGAGACCAGCAGGAGACGGCATGGTGGGCCTTGGAGGGGCACGAAACCGGAGTGCCTTCAAGAAGGTGCAGGGGCCTCTGGTGGAGCTGGGCTTGCTGGCCAACAGTGCCGGCATCCACACTCCAGGAGAAGCCCATGATTCTAAGTGCGTTCACCTTGCTGGTCCTGAGTGGCTTCTGGCCGGGGCTTACAGCCGGAGTGGAATGGCTTAGGGCAGCGGTTCTCAACCGGTAGATCGTGACCCCTTTGGTGGTCGAACAACCCTTTTACAGGAGTTGCCCGAATCATAACAGTAGTAAAATTACCGCTATGAAGTTGCAACAAAAATAATGTTATGGGTAGTGGGGAGGGAAGGGGAAAATGAGTAAATGATAGTAAGGGCTAAAGTGCAAAGCAGGTGTTTTGAGATTGATGAGGGCAACAAATGTACATATGTGCCTGACACAATGGATGTATGTATGGACTGTGATGAGAATTGTACGAGCCCTCAATAAAATAATTAAAAAATAAATAAATAATGTTATGGTTGGGGGGGTCACCACAACATGAGGAACTGTATGAAAGTGTTGCGGCATTAGGAAGGTTGAGAACCAGTCTTACAGTGTTTATTGGCAGAGCTAACAGAGCTTTGTATTATCTGCTGAGTAGGGTAGAGGTCAAGGGGCCAACGGTCCAAGGCTGTAGAGATGTGTGCCTGTGGGCACTGCTGAGAAGAGGCTGTCCTGATCAAAGAACTGTATCCTGAGTTACTTCTAATCCTGAACTATAACCTGCTACTTCCCAATAACCCCCCCAAACCCTCAGTGTTGTCTGTGAGTGATGTGTGGCCACTGTAACAGGTTAATGAGCCCAGCAGGGAGAGAGAGTGCCATGGGAGGTGGTACAGTGTCAGAACTGATGGAAAACTAGTTAGTGAGCAGACATGTCTGACCTGGACCTCAGAAATTGGCCATGAACTTGCTGATCTTGATCCACTTTTTCCCTTGTGAAATCAAATGAGGCCAGACACCTAAGCCACCATTTGCATACAACTCTGATTATTCCTATAATTGGTTTCACCTCTTTCCTGAGTTACCAAAATTTCTTGCCCACTTAACTCAGATGTGATCAAACCAAACCAAATCTTGATCATCACGTCAGAATTTCCCCCCTTAAGTTTCCAAGACCATCCATCTCTATAGGAACAGGCAGGCTTGTCTTTCTCCTTGGGAGCAGCTGGTGGGTTTCCACTAATGACTGTGCCTCACAGCACAATACGTAACCCAGCTATGGCACCAGGGCTCCTTATATAAAAATCCTATCATAGATCCCATTTGAAAAATCCCTCTGGGAAGCAAAGTCCTCTCCACAACCACTGCTTCCATTCTTTTAAACCCACTCTTAGCTGGCTGGCTAGAACTGGAATCCACTGTTCGATAGAATCCTATGTGCTACTATATAGCTTATTCACATCGCTGATCCTGTCATAACTCACCAAGACAATCCCCATTCTGAGTTACTGCATTTGCTATTCCTTCTGCCTGGGCTACTCTTCTGCTAGATATTCACATCAGGAAAATATGTTTTATGTACTCGAACCATCTGACTCTCTCTCTCTCTACATACACACGCGCACGCACACACACAATGTACTGGAACCATCTGACTCTCTACACACAATGTACTCAAACCATCTCTCTACACACACAATGTACTCAAACCATCTCTCTACACACACACACAATGTACTCAAACCATCTGACTCTCCACACGCACACAACGTATTCAAACCATCTGATTCACTCTCTACACACACACACACACA